GAGTGTAAAGGAGAAAGTTTGTCGAAAATGCTATTGCATTTTTGGGGCTGTCTATATTTAGCTTGTATTGCACCTTGTATGGAACCTCCCATAGTACAGTAAAAAAAGATAAGGTAGAGCTGCTTAACATTTTTTCTAAGTGTGCCCGACTTCTGCCAATTTTTGCTTTGTCCCAGAACCTGGAAAAATCTACTACATTTTCAATTTTTTTATACCCTCTACCATCGTATGGAGGGTATATTAACTTTGTCATTCCGTTTGTAACACCTCGAAATATACATGTAACGGTACCTCCCGATATTCGGTTTTTTGATGATGATGGGGCGCGCATTAATGATATTAACCAAATACTAACCCTGGAATTGACAGGTTGAAGACTTTAAATCACATTTTTTGAGAGAAATCCTTGCATTTTTTTCGCGTTATTTAACTCATTTTAAAAACGAACAAAATATATCAAATAAATTAAAAAACTTGTTGTATATAATTTTAAGTAATTTCGACAGGTAGCGGGCATAGTCTCAGGGCTGTATTTTTGTAGTTTTACCTTCTTATAGTATTATGGGACCTCCTTAATACATAAATACGAATAAATATAATAAGTATTTCAATCTGCTGCTCTATGAATTTATTACAGCGGAGTTTAATTGTACATGTCGTCCATACTAGGCAAACGCCATAGTTTAAGTATCCCTTAAACAACGGCGATAACAATGTACTATCGGTCATCGAGCAAATCCGATCCGTTGAAATATTAATCGACATGCTGTCATCACAATTGTTTGTGTCGATGTGTTGTGTGTTGTGATTAATTTTTTATTCGAGTTTTGCAAGTAAATTATTAAAATTCTGTAGAAATTGTAACAACTACAACGAAACTTTAAAGTTACTTCACACATCAATTGGGTTCAAAGTTTATCCATAATGTCAGGTGAGATTTGTGGCCAAGGAAAAATGGAAAACGAGTGGAAGAAAATAAAAAAGTGTGTCATAAACCATCTCATAAGAAACGAAAAACGATGAAAAATTGATTAACTGATGTTGATTTGTGTGTTGCTGCTGCGGCCTGGTTAACGGGCTGACTGTATGTTGTTATTAAAAGTGGGTGATGAGGTGGGATGGATTTGGCCCAACTAGTGATACTGTTCCATTCAAAATGGTTGGCCGTCATGTAAACCCTGCACGGAAATAAAGGCTATAAATTTTTTGTTTTCATCAAATCTGCAAAATGATAAGATTACTTTTTGGCCATGCTTTTGCCAAAGGCAAAGAAACTAGCTATATATATGTAATAATTTCAGTGTGTTGTTGCTATTTTCTATAGATATGGGCATATGTTTATTTATGTCCAAGACTGATCATCACACTTGAATGGTTATATTAAATTGTGGGGTGGGGGAAGAAATGTTGACATACATATGTATATTAACCAATATTTACATTTATAATGTCTATTTCCATTATTGATGTTAAACGAAGGCTGCCTTATTTCCATGACCCTGAGTGATTGATTTTTGATTAGAATTGGTTTGATTAGAAATAAATAAATACTAATAAATACTAATTTATCAGTTAGACTGATAATGTGGCGTTTCCACTGCACTTGATTCGCTCTCTATTCGTTGTTTGACCCTTAACTATGAAAAAACTACATTATTCTTCACACAAAATTTCTTGAGCGAACACTCATATTTGTACGTTGTTCAAATCAAATTACTCTCAGAACAACGAAAAAATATGTCCCATCCCTAACAAATGAGAGCATTTATCGAAAAAATAAATTATGACATTTAAAAATTAAAAATAGAAAAATTTAATGAAATTTTAAAAATTTTTGGGAAGACTGAAAATTATGAATGAAAACTACAATATTGAATGGCGTATGTACATTCAAACGAAAGTACATTTTGTTTTCTCTCTCATTCGAGGTACGCATTTTATCCACGAGTTGAAATTTCCACAGAAAACTGCAAACAAAAGAGGCAATATTTTCAAAAACTTTGTATCGGCAGAAAAAATGTTTGACAAGTGTCTCTCCAGCAAAATTTAAAAATAGAAAAATACAAAAATATGTTCAAAATGTCAACATTTGCACAAAAAGTTGAAAACGTGAATGAAAATTATAAAATTAATGATATAATAAATCTTTGGGAGAAAAACAATCATTTCTTCTATTCATATTAGTGAGAATTTCATGTATTTTCGTATGAATTCCCATTAAAATCAACAAACAAAATTTTTGAAAAAAGGAATTATTTTACTATGAATTACGAATCGTGCCGTATGAACGGGTTAATTCGTGTACATAATTCTGAGAGCGAACAACGTTGTTCGGTTTCCAATGGAAACATGCTATAAGAAAGAGTATTGTAAATGTAATTTATTTGTAATTGTCTGTAAGGGAGTTGGCTAGCATATGCGGTTTTATTTTAAGTTCAATGACTTCTGATTGTAAAGGGTGCATGTCTTTGTTATTGCAAGGTACATATGTCCATCATGGTGTTGTCATAGCATCCACCCAACCGCTTTTTGCTATTGGTTGTATGGGAGTTTTTGTACTTGGCAATATGTATGTTACTTTACATAAGGAAGGTTGTGTGGATATTAGAATGGCTTCAACATAACAAGAACAAATGGAAAAAAATGCATAACATATATTAAAAAGAAATATTTTCAGTGACTGGTAATTATGAGTAACAAAATTCAAACTAAAATTAAAAAAGTAATTGCAGGTTACGGCAATTGATTAACACTTGACAAAAATATTTCTAAGTAAGTTTTTAGAACCTTCCAAAAATCATTATTTACTGGTATTTTTTAGGTATGTGGTTTTCATGCCCTCCACCATACATAGTATGGAAATAATAATTGTAGACCCAACAAAGTACATATATTCTTGGCCAGCTTAAAGTTTTGAGACCATTTAGCCATGTCCGTCCGCTAGAGTCGAAACGATAAAAGATAGGAAGCTAAAATTTTGCACCAGTCTGTCCTTTGTCTGCAGGCAAGTCAAGTTCGAAAATGCACTATATGGGTTCACGATATCGTATAGCCTCCCGACATTCGGTATTTTGATGATTATAGTCACATTTTTCAATGACATTGTCTGAAATTCTACACAAGATATTTTCTGTGAGTACTTTACCCCCTGAAAAAGAATTTTCTGTATAGATCTACGATATTGAATAGCCCCCATACAATGGTGCCCCCCAACATTCGGTGTTTTGATGATTTTAGCCATATTTTTCAATAGAATAGTCCACGCAAGGAGTTCCTTCTGAGTACTTTACCCCCTGGAAGAGAATTGTCTACATAGGTCTATGTTTTAGTATAGCACCCATATAACGCTACCCCAAGATATTCGGTATTTCCAGGATTTTCGCGACACTATTCACTGGAATTGCGTCAAATTCCGTATTTGAAGTTCGTAATGGGTACTGCAACCTATGATGGAAAATTGTCTATGCAGGTTCATGTCTTAGTAAAGCGACCATACAATGGTACCTTCCTTTATTCGGAATTTTGATATTGGTGACATTATTCACCGGAATTGTTTTGAATTTCGTATTTGAAGTTCGGAATCATTTCTACAGGGTGAGATAAAAATACAGCAACAAAGTCAAACGCCATAATTTTTACAATTTTTGTTATTACATTTTATTGAATGAACCCAAAAAATGTCGGAAATAGCATCAAATTTTAGAATAAGTTTAGATTTGTTCGAATTGGTCACCTTTGCCCGAATGTTGCTCTGCGGTATTTTGGCCCATTCCCGGCGAAGCGCTTGCTTAAGGTGATCGACAATTTTGTTTTTTTTTTTTTATAGTGCCAGCCTTGCTTTCCAAAATACTCCAAACACAATAGTCCAACCGATTGTTATCCGGAGATTTTGCTGGACATTGTGCGTTGGAAATGAATCGAGGAACCTCATTTTGTAACCTTTCTTGGGTGGCGCGTGCTGAATGCGTTGATGCTGAGTCCTGTTGGAATGTCCAAGGTCTGCGGCCAAAATGTTTGCCTGGCCAAGGCTTAATTACACCCTCCTGAATATTTTCGCGATAATATTCGACATTTATTCTGATACCTAGGTTGATTAATACGACCATCGGCTGTTATGGCGACCCACACGTTCACCATGGCCGGCGCTTGAGTTCTAGTGGCCAATCGAAGGTGCACATTTTCAGCTGACCTCTTTGGCAAGTAAACACGTTCATTTTGTTTGTTTACAAACTGCTGGACAACGCTACCAGTATCACGGTATCACAAGCGATGGTATGAGACACAAAAGATTTATTCACATTTAAATGCTGGAGTGCTCTAACGATAGCCCCTTGTGGGTTTCCAGCCAAATATAAAGAAATCACTCTATCACGCTTGAATTCCATCAGGAATAACTTATTTTCTGGAAAATTTCTGGTACGCTTGTAAACAATATAATGAGCTGTCACTGGAATAATTTTAACAGCTTTCGGACGAGTGGCTTAGAAATGACAGCAGTCTGAAGTTGGTTGCAGTTTTTTCGTCTCACCCTGTATATACTTTGTGGGGTCTAAAGCATATATTTCGAGGTGTTACAAACGGAGTGACAAACTTAATATACCCTCCATACAATGGTGGAGCGTATAAAAGTATTGTCATAGGTCAATGGTATGAAAGTGACAATTTGTAGGCAAAGCTACATTTTTAAACCTTACACCTACGGCTGTGATGTGCAAAAGAAATCGATGCAGTCCTATAGTTCAATTTCATTATCTGCATAGAATCACATTCTGCGTCGACGTATCGATTTACGCCCGTCCATCTGTCTATCCACGTATTTTTGTATGCTAATTACAGGTCATATTTTCATATTCATATTCGTTTTCTTTGGCCCAAGGTCAAACCCTATTGAAATTGGTGGCAATCAGTTCAGATTCGGATAAAACTTCCATATATATCTCCACCCGAATCCACTCCATAACTTTGATACTCAGTACAATGTATCAGAAACAGCCTAGAAATACCTTCGACATAATTAATTGATATCGGTTTAGAAGAGTTATATTTCATCCAGTCATAACATAAACTGTAAAGAAGTAATATTTGGTATCTCCAAATATCTCCAAATGCCAATTCGACCGACTCATTCAAATAAAGGAGGTGTACAATCTTCAAACTTTCGCTCTCATATGAGTACCCTGCAAAAATAAAACAATACCAAAAAGAAAATTAGATAAACCTTAAATAACTCTTATCTTTAAGAAACTTCGCCCACCTTCAGCAAATAGATTTTTTTGTTACTGGCTGGCTACACGACTAATTTGAACGATGAACGACGATATAGACTCTGCTGATGATTACTTTCAGAACGATAGCCAGCGAATGAATGGCATTGCGGCGTTTGCATGTTAACTGGGGGCCGCAAAAAAAAAAGAGAACTCCAAAAAACGCGCACACACTCTAGAACATCGATATCATCATCATCATCGGCATGGTGTATTGTAGTAGTAGCCGTCGTAATAGTCACCGCCAAAACAAAGGCCATTGCCGCCGTTTTGCCGTCACAGCAATCGTTAAACAGTGGAAAGGGCTCTCATAACAATTTGTAAACACAACAATTTTCTTATTATTGCTGTTGTTGTTGTTGCTGCTGCCTGCTACTGTTGGATTTTCATTGTGAAAATAAACGTCACTTTTATATGTTATTTTGCTAAGCGCGAAAACGAAGAGGTAGAACGGTAGAACATAAACATTCGCAGTAATAACAGCTAGCCAGTCGACCAGCAGCTAACAACTGCGCCAACAGCAGCAGCAGCAGCAGCAACAACACGACCAACCGACCATTGCCTAGACACCTCTAAAAGGCAGTCGTCACTCAGTTCGTCAGGGAGACACTGATATGCACAATCTAACCGCTATGTGTACTTTAGAAATGTTAACGGTTGTTTAGTACTAAAACGTCTTCCTCGGCATAAAGACCGGGCCAAAGATTCTTGCCAAACCCACACACACATATATTTAAATATTCATATTTTTTTCAATTCCCTCATCGGGTCCAAAAACAAAAGAGATTACAAAGCGCGGAAATGTTTTGCAATACATTAATGGCCAGTGTTTGTCAGTTTGTCACAATTTAATGAATACTCTCTCTCTCTGTCTCCCCCATCTGTTCGGAGATAACACCTATTTAGAATAAGCCAAAACAATAAACAACAAATTAACATCATCTATCTATCGTTCATCATCACCACCACAACCACAACCATCATCTAACCGATCGCGGCATGTTTAGCTACAGATGCATGCGTCTTATAATACCGCGTCCCTCCGTATCGCGTCCACCATGTTCGTGTTGTTTTCAACCCTGTCTTATACCCTTAGGTTGTTGCGGCTGTTGTTCGGCTTTGAGGCCGCGTTACAAACGTCTGGTGGATAACATCTTTCCGGTGAATTCGGAAGATGGCCTGGTCAAATCGAACATGGAGAAGTTGACATTTTATTCGCTGAGCTCACCGGATAAACTGGATCGTATTGGTGAATATTTGTATCAGAAGGCCTCGAAGGATATCAATCGCAAACGTTACAAGTAAGTAAATGATGTATGTCTATTGCTTTGCTTTTAAATTTGTTTTTGCTTTCTTTTTTATTATTCCATAAATGAGTCACAACAGTGTTATGTGGCAATTGCTTGGTGGCGGGTGTTTCCTGTTTCATCAATGTTTTAGTTATCCTTGTTATTGAAACACTCTTTGCAACAGTTAGCTTGGATATGACTCAGTGGCGTTAATGCATTTTGTTGGTCTTTGGTGATATAAAACAGCATTAAATATGGCTGTTTGTCTCAGGAATGCTTAGGCCTATTGAAATATAAGGACTCTTCTGGACCATGTGGCAAATGTGATGTATTTTCAAGTCTTTCATTACTTATTGAAAAAATATAGACCAAAGCTGTATTGAATTTATATTTGGTTGTCGGTAAAGTTTATATACCCTCAGCCATATGGCTATCATTTGATGCGGCCAAAACGTGCCTCATCGAAAAAACGGGTTTGACCCTAAGTCTCTTTGGACCAAATCTGTTTCAGGATAATTTGAGTCGATCTAGCGATGTCCGGAGTCGATTTAGCGATATTGGTTCACTCCTTCTCATACCTCCCCCACAAAATTTCAACATTTTCAAAGAAAATAATTTACTGCACAGAAAGAAAAAAGTGATCCGATTTTGCTCCATCTTTGCAAATCCAAATATTTACATCAATGATAGGACGTGTGCGAAAATAAACAATATCGGTCCATTCCATCAAGTACCTCATGTCCATTCATCAAGCAGGATTAAGATTGTTAATTATTATAACTCTTATATAAAATGTGATTTAAGGATCCGATTGCCTACAAATTGCACACATCACAATAGTTTTATTAACCCAAAGTCTGGCGTAAATATGGAAAATATCGGTCCCCACCTTCTGGCACCTCACACGCAAAGCGTCAAAATTTTGAATATTCATGATACTCATAAAACACGAAATTAACATCCGATTCCATTCAGATTTGACACATCTCAATATTTCAATTAACACAAGATCTGTTAGAAAGATGGTAGAGATCGGACCGTTCCTTCTGATACCTCCCCCACAAAGCGTCAAAGTTTTGAATAACCAAAACGGTCATAAAATCCGAATTAAGCATCCTGTTCTCTTCAAATTACACACAGCACAAAATTTATTTTTGTTAACACAAATTCTGGTGTACAATTGAGAAATATCGGTCCACTCCTTGGACAGAGTTATATCTAGGTCCTATTGATTTGCCCGAAGACTCTCAACAACGTTTTTATGGTTCAGGCTCAGGCCCGCACTTTCTTCAAGCATCCTGTTCTCTTCAAATTACACACAGCACAAAATTTATTTTTTTAACCCAAATTCTGGTGTACAATTGAGAAATATCGGTCCACTCCTTGGACAGAGTTATATCCAGGTCCTATTGATTTGCCCGAAGACTCTCAACAACGTCTTTATGGTTCAGACTCAGGCCCGCACTTTCTTTCCAAATTTGGAAGCACGGTCCCATTGATCTGTTCGAAGTTTCTTATAGTTCATGCCCTATAGTCTCCAAAAGTTCGGTCAGAGTTATCTAGTCCCATTAATCTATACAAAGTTATCGAGTTTATCATACACTGGCAGACACCTCCTAAGTATTCTTATGTGGAATCAGCGTAGTATCACACTATTCGACAAAGTAGTGTCCTATAATAGCCCATCAGAAGCGCTTTTCCGGTTCAGGTTCCCTCCCCATCCTCCTTGTCGCAGTTTCTTGTGGTTCAAGCTCAGGCCCTCAATGTCCTCCTAAAGTTTGGACAGAGATATAAATTTAGGGTCCCATTGATTTGCCCGAAGACTCTTCAGAGAAGAAAGTTTTTATGGTTCAGGCTCGGGCTTGCACCTTTTTTCAAAAGTTTGATCAGAGTTATTATATGGTCCCATTGATCTGTCCAAAGATTCGTGTGGTTCAGGTTCACGTTGCCATCGTAAAGTTTGAACAGAGTGAAGAGCTTTAAAAGGTTCTGTTTCAGGCCCGCAGTCTCCTCCCAACGCTTGGGCAGAGTTATTATTTGGTCCCATTGGTTTGTCCGGCGACTCCCAGGAGCGTTCTTATGGTTTAGGCTCGAGCCTGCGTCCCCTCCCAAAGTTTGTGCAGAGTTATTTTCTGGTTTTATTTATCTGTTCGATGTTTCTTACGGTTCAGAGCCGCACTCCACTTCCAAAGTTTGGACAGAGCTATTATCTGGTTCCATTGATCTGTCCGAAGACTTCCAGAAGCATTCTAATGGTTCAGACTCGGGCCAGCACTCCCCTCCCAAACTTTGCACAGAGTTAGTATCCTGTTCCATTAATCTGTTCGATGTTTCTTATGGTTCAGGCACAGGCTCACATTGCCATCCTAAAGTTTGGACAGAGTTAACAGCTTTCAAAACTTCTGTTTCAGGCCCACAGTCTCCTTACAAAGTTTGGTCAGAGTTATTCTCTCCTCCAGTTTATCCCATTGGTTTATCCGACGACGTTCTTATGACTCAGGCTGGGGCTGCACTCACTTCCCAAAGTTAGGACAGAGTTATTTTCTGGTTCCATTGATGTTATTTGTGGTTCAAACCCTCATTATTCTCCTGAAGTTCCTTCATGGATATTAAGGAGATTCTCTCCAGAAATAACCTTTAATTCATATTTTATTAATACAGGACCTTTCGAAGTTTATAACTGGTATTCCTTTAACTGATATTCTACTTAGATAAAGTCTTTAGGAGTTTTCTACTCATAGAAGATTAATAGGAGGATTTCTAACACATCTTAAAAATGCTCCTCTTAATAGGAGATTTAAAAGGGTTCTTTAAAGAAACGAGGTATAAAAATGACCTGTTTAGCAATTTACTGATTGCCCTATAAGTACTTTAAGCGGGCTTTGCACTGACAGAAAATCTTTCAAACTTCCTCCAAGTTCTTCCAAATTTCAATAAAATACCTTGACAACATTTTCTACCGGGAATGAACCCTCCAAATGATTTTCGAAATAAATGTTTTTAATGTATTTTATATCAATGGAAGATATTGACGTTTAAAAAATAGATTCTCTGTTATCCTACGCCGGACGCATGTTTACATTTCAATATTTTAACATTTTCCTTTTCTCCACTCTTCACCAAGGCTTCATTCTAAAAATATTTTGTATTAAGATCGTATTTTCCCCCCCATTCACGTTGCCAAGTGTATTCTAGCCTTGATATTCTCCTCCTCCTTATAATTATTTAAAAGGCTAAATAAAGCCTTCATTTGCAGTTCAATTGTATCAATACACATGTAATGGTGTTATCACGTTTTCTTCCTGCCACTTACAGCTGGGTGTCATTTGCCAATTTGTTGCTGAGTTTATTTTTATAACACGCTGTGGCTTCAAGTCAGCCAGCTTGCTTGCCTGCCACTGCCACTGTGGCAATTACCTGACTGACATTGTTGTTTCAAACATTATTGTTTGTTATTGTTGTAGTTTGTTTTTATTATTCTTCCGATGTATAATTTGTATCATATTACTGTTACGGAGGAGATGGTTTTAAAAACCAACAACCTCTCCCGTATATTGTATTATGCTGTTTATTAACTATTTTCTCTCATACTATTTTATTATCGCTGCTGCTGCCGTTGCTGCTCTGGCCTTTATCTTCAACAACAACAAAAAAATCAAAACAAAAGGTTTGTGGAAATTGCCATGGAAGCCATGGATAACTTGTTGCAGGCATGTCATGCCCAGACCACTTTGAATCTATTTGTGGAATCATTTTTGCGCATGGTTCAAAAACTGCTGGAGGATTCAAATCCAAATTTACAAATTTTGGCCACCAATTCGGTAAGTTGCGTTAACTTAATTTGTTTTAATTAAATTAAGGAAATGATACCAAACACATGTACACACACCCGCACTTTGTTGACCTTGCCCAATATATATTAAATTAAGGATTAACACAAATATGGCCACGGACACAGCGCATCCTTTTTCCTGTGTGTGCATACATGTGTATTATTATTTATTTGCTGTTACTAAATTGTCCATGACCTCAATTAATGAATAGCCCTTCTGGTAATTAAATGTCATGTGCGTTAACATGTTCCTCCTTCTTCTATTTGCTATTTACTATTTAACAAAATTCTTTAGCGAATGTTATCACATTTGATGTTGATAAGGGAACGAGGGAGGTTTTAAATAGCCAGAACAATGTTGAAACGATAGAGGTGTCAGTTTGGGTTAAAAGTGTTTGGGATTATTTAAAAGTGGGGACGTATTCAAATATCTAAAAGAAATGTATTTCGGACAGGGGTATGAAAAATTCAAGTTGAGAACAAAATTTAGTTGACATTGATATTTGATCTGTTCCGGAACCTACAGGAATCTACTACTTTTACAATTTTTTCCGATATCATAAAGGGAAAATCGGTTATCGTTGCAAGAACTTTATTATTCCTGCAGTTCTGGAACAGAAGTTTCCCAAAAATTTCAAAAATACAGGGTGAGATAAAAAAACTGCAGCAAAGTCAAACGCCATACTTTTTACTTATTATTGAAAGAAGGCAAAAAATGTCGGAAATAGCATCAAATTTTAGAATAAGTTTTGATTTGTTCGAATTGGTCACCTTTGGCACGAGTTATGGCCTTCAAACGGCCAATGAAACCGTCACACGTAGCCCGAATGTTGCTCTGCGGTATTTTGTCCCATTCCCGGCGAAGCGCTTGCTTGAGATGATCGACACTTTGGTATTTTTTAGTGCCAACCTTGCTTTCTAAAATACTCCAGACACAATACTCCAACGGATTGGTATCCGGAGATTTTGGTGGCCATTGTGCGCTGGAAATGAAGCGACGAACATCATTTTGTAACCTTGGGTGGCGCGTGCTGAGAGTTCTGTTGCGATAATATTCGGCATTTGTTCTGATGCCACGGTCGATTAATACCACCATCACCATGGCCAGCGCTTGAGTTCTGGTGGCCAACCGAAGGTGCACATTTTCAGCTGACCTCTTTGGCAAGTAAACACGATCATTTTGTTTGTTACAAACTGCTGGACAACGAATGTCATCGGAGAAAACGAAATTCGGCAGTTCACCACTTTCTGCCAAGCGAAGCAACTCTTCGTCTCTTTTGGGTCTATTTTCTTTCTGTTGCGGTCTAAGTTCTGGTACTTTTTGAAATTTCAATGGGTTTACCCCGAGCTCATTTTTCAATATTGCCGATATGTTCAGCTCACGAGCCATTTTTCGGCCACTGCGACGCGGGTTTCGATCAAGTCGCATCTTTACTTTTCGAACCATTTCAGCTGATGTTGCTGTTTCTTCCGTCCACTTCCTTAACGTCGGGCTACGCTACCAGTATCACGGTAACGAGCGATGGTACGAGACACAAAAGATTCATTCACATTTAAATGCTGGATTGCTCTAACGATAGCCACTTTTCGTTTTCCAGCCAAATATAAAGAAATCACACAATCACGCTTAAATTCCATCACGAATAACTTTTTTTCTGGAAAATTCTCACCAAAATGCTTTTGTACCCCTTTAAACAATATAATAAGCTGTCTCTGCAATAATTTTAACAGCTGTCGGACGAGTGGCTTAGAAATGACAGCAGTCTGAATTTGGTTGCAGTTTTTTCATAAGTAAGTCTTCGACATCGGGGAATTACTTTAATGGCTGACCTTCAGAGTTTTGATTTTTTTTCACGAGTCCAAAAAGAATTAGTATTAGATCTTGTATTCACGAACAAATAATTCATTTATTTATTGAGCCAATCTATTTACCCATAACCTGACAAATGGATTCACATTGCTAGCAGAAACAATCTCCAGAATCTAAGAAAATATGTCTATACAAACTCCTTTATTAACACTTTATTTGTCGATCAAATGGAAATACATATCCCTCAATGTTCCAAATATAGAAGCTTTTGTTTTTAAATGGAGTAAAGCGACCACTTAAACACAAGTTTTTTGGAGCCTCTACTCTGCACAACAGTTTTTAAATGTGTTTTTTTAACAATAAATAAAACAATTTTGAAAGTTATTTCCTCTCGGAAAATAATTAGATTTTGTGGGAACATTCCTTTCGTGTTAGTGTTTGTCATTCTAAATTTACGACATTTGTAATGAGACTCTACTGCAGAGCTCAATGTTTTCCATTTCTTTATACGTTTTTTGCCAGAGTTAAATCAGTTTATTTCAATAATGACATGCGAAGAACATACATTCGCCCATTTTATAAAATTATCGTAAATTTCAAAATTGCCCGGATTGAATTTTTCCCACGAAACTATATAATTTGGAAGACCTGCAATACTTTTAATTTGGCTATTATTATCATATCTCGTTACGTTACATTACTCACTTTTCCCCCATTTTGCACGTCACGACATTACTAGGTGCAATGTCACACATTCTTATCAGAAAAAAAGCAAGTCGTTACACGATTATTGCTTTTGTCAATAAGCGAACACATTTAAATTGTAATTATGATATAACTTAATTCATGTGTACTTACATACATACGTTTCCATTACAAATAAACAGATTAGAAAAAATTAGTTGTGGGATATAAGTTATTTTCAGATTTAAAACTGTACGTAAAAAGATTTTTTATTTTTTTAATTTTTTTGTTAAATAGATTTTCATAAATTTTGCCCAGCCCTCCCACCGAAATCTCTACAAACAGTGACAAGTAAATAATTGAATAGCTTGCAAATAGTTTGTTTCCGATAAGACTTTATTGATCAATAGATTTAATTTAACATTGAAAACAAAGGGGCGAAAAACATGTTATGTTACCGGTGTATGATAAAATGGATAAGGGAATTCTCCGCAAGAAAAGGTGGAAAAAAGTATCGATACGAAACAAGATTTAAAGAGTAGTGACACGCCATGACTAGCATGTTTTTACTTTGATCAATGTACAAAATTCTAAAGTTTAAAAATGTACGTAATAAATTTGGTGTCGGTCCCCTATTGAATTATCATTCAAAAGATGAGATTTATTTTCATAGAAAACATCGATTTCGGAGCACACAGACTTTTTAGGGCGCCGAAGACAATAAGACTTAAGTGTGAAGTTTAAAGCAATTTTACATTTTTTTTTTAAATTAGCAATTTATTACAATTTTAATTGAAATAATTTCTAACACTTTTTTATTTATTACGAAAGTGCAACTTAAAGCTTGCATGTCCGATAATAAATAAATTTCTGGCGTTAAGATAAAATTTCGACATTTAATGTCTTCTGGGGGACATATAGTAGAATTTTATGAAAAATAAAATGTAGAATGTTTTGATTTCTACGATTAAGTTCCGAAAGTCGAGTGCCTTGTTAAAAAAAGGTATTTGAATATTTCTTCTCAGATCCTAGTCTTCTAATACATTGGCTCTCCCACTTCCCATAAAACTAATACAAACCCAAACTATTGTGGAATCGATGGAGAATAACTTAAGGACCTAATTGTGGAATACGGCACAATTATAAATTCCAAATAACGGTTTTAGACCCTAGGTCTATTTAGACAAAATCCGTTTCAGGACATTTGAAGTCGATATAGCGATGTCAATGATGAAGGGAGTAACTGGTGACGATGGTACAGATCCCACCATTTCTTCTGGTACCTCCCCCACATAGGGTCACAAATTCCAATACTTATATCTGTCATAACTTGCGAAATAAGTCGGCGATTCGTTACAACTTGCTGATATGAATATGTAAGTTATAGGAATTTATAATTTCGCAACATTTTTATTTTCATTAGATAGGTTATGAAAACGAAATACTTCGGTCAATTATATCTGGTGCCTCACGCACATTTTATAATTTTTTAAAAAAATATCACATATCTCATATAAAGTAAAGGAAGTTGCCAATATAGTCCAAACCTGGCATGTCGCAATATTTCTATTTCTTAGTTCAAAATTTCTTAACTAGAACCCCTCAATTCCACTACCATAAATTGAGACATAATCATAAAACTTGTCCCATTGCAAGGAATTTTACAAGGATTGCACTATCTAAAATCTTCAATAATCCCCTAAATTAACTGATTAATTTATACAATATACCTTGAATCAAGCTGGAAAGGACTGGGAATATCTTCTTGCACTCGATGTCGAATAAATTTCTTTCAAGCTTGGATGTGTGCATGTTTAGCTTGATTAAATTGAAATTTCAGAAACAACGGTATATCGAATGTGAGTGCCACTAGGGACCAAATTCCAGACATTTATATCGAACATTTAGATGGAAATTGATTTGTGTATGAGCACATATTGAAATTCATTTCGATTGCTGTATTCAAATTTATTCACATATTCAAATTCATTTCGATTGTAGCATGGTACAATGAAGAGAAGGTAGGTCAACTTTGAAAAAAATGCAAGTATAGAGGTCTACCTGTTTGGCTTGTAATGTCAGAATTACTATCAAAACAATAAAAAAGCAAACAACTTGTTGCATTGATTTTGAATAAATAATTTAAAACCGCGAAAACTGAATGAATGGTCAAAATTTCTTTTCAATATCATGTTCTATATATCTGTTATGGTTTATTTCGCGACAAAAACTGTAAATTTTGTCGATGCATTCGTTGCAATAAGCATTTTGAAAACACCCGAATTTGAATATTTTCTGAACAATTTTTTATTATTGAAAAGAAGACACACACATAAGCAAATGAAGTTGACATATTAAGCCAGAAAAATAAAAAAATTAAATCATATGGTAGTTCTGCCCTACCTTGAATTCATTGTACCATGGATTGTAGTATTTCAAATCTTCCATAAGCCCCTAAATTAATTGTTTAATACGAATAGATAATATACCTTGAACAAAGCTGGGAAGGATAACAAAAATGTTCACGCATTCGATGTCGAACAAATTTCATTCAAGCTTTTATGTGTACATTTTTACCCTATTTAATTAAAATTTTCCACAGAAACAACTGGGTATCGAAAGTGAGAGCCAGACACTAGCGACCAAATTCTTGCCATTTTTATCGAAATTGATTTGTGTCTGGCCATTTTTGGTGGATGTAAAGCAAAAGTTTGACAAAAACAACTTGTGTTTTATTCTAACATTTTATATCTTGTGGATTTCACCGCATTATTTTATTGTAAACAAACTTTAATTTACATATTAAAATTCATTTCGATAGAATTTTTTCGACATTGTCCCGAAATTTCCATTTTTATATTAAAATAAAATGCGCCTGTCCATATTTATTTCGATCGAAATTTGTTCAATTCAATTTGAGCGCTTCCATGACCCGCATACTATTTAAAATTATGTTCCATGGAATATTCCCTTCTTAAATGTCTAGAAATAAAAATAATGGACATCAATGACTAATTTTCCCAGATTTCCTTAGCATTACTAAAAAACTCAAGGTCTTAAGACTCACACGAATGAATCATCAACGGTTTTACAAAGAAACCGGTTTGCGTATTAAAAATAACAACAATGAATAAACAAAGGTTGCTGCTTTATAAATATAACTACAATCATTTAAATTTACTCGATATATGTACCCAAGTATTCCCATAAACTACATTTTTCCACCTTTCCAATTTAAGCCAATATTTTAAAATTATCCAGGTGTATTAATTCTAGTAAGAATTGAAATTGTTTTATCACAAGTCCGCTAGTTTGGGATAATAAGATTTTCTTCACTTTTTTCTTTTGAAAATTGTTTATTTTTTTTTTTTTTTTTCAAGACTTCCTTATTTGTTAAGGCGGCAGACGGGCTATGGATACTTCTTTAGACCTATTTTTATTAAAACCCAAATTCCGAATTGATTTTCTGTTCCATTTAAAACCCACGCTCCTAATGTAGGCATCAACTATAACTTTGAATTACTTTAACAAAATATGAAAATTAGCTTCAAACTTGACGGAGGGTTTGGTTGGTTTATAACTTTGAAACAATTCCCTCAGAAAAATTTGAACATTTTCCCTAAAAATGCTTCTGTAATCTATTTATAAAACATATACAAAATTTACAGAATTTTAGGATTCTAAAACAAACCTTTTCACCGGAATTGGTAAAAATTGAGGGTCCTTTTTGTAAATAGATATCAAAGACAAAAATCCCCTACTATAATCATAAAATATAATAACCTATGGTAAAAATATATCATGTTGCTTTACCACAAGGGGATTATATTTCTTTCCTTCGATAAACTTCCAAAGAATGGTTTAAACCTTCACCATGAGTGCGGTTTTTTTTCAATTTGAAGTTCAAAATGAATTGGCATTTTCGGGAGCTTCTTGTCGCTTTTTTCTGTGTGGTTTCTTTTTTGCTAAATGCCATTAATCGATAATGACTCAAATTACTTCTAGACACCCGCCTGTGTGCATTAATTCAAGAATTTCAATTTGAAATTGTCAAGTTTATCCATTTGTTAGGCAAATGTTTTCCTTTTTTTCCAATTTCTTCAATCTCGATAGTCAACAATTCCCCAGGATAATAAAAGAGTGACTGTTCCCAATAGAAGTCCAAAAACTCGTGTAACCTCCAGATTTGTTTACTTCTTTGCTTATTACAAACATGTTACCATCTTTTCCTCATTTTTTGCTAACTGGAATTAAAAGATTGATTAAAAATGGCATATAACTTTCATTTAATACTCACCAATTGTCCCCTTCAGAACTTCAGTGTGGCATCAAAACCTCTGCTGCTTTTAAATACTTCCATTGTTTCCGACAAGTTTCACCTCCCACCCCCATGTTTTCTTCAAACATTTTCGTAGACCCCTTGGCTATTCCCATCATTAAAAACAATTCACTTTTTGTATTTTTTTTTTTTTTAAGAATTGAACAAAATCAATTGTTCAACTCATTGATTTTTTATTAAATTTTTAATTTCACAATAGATGGTAACATGTGTAGTATCTTCACTTATTTTCTTCTTCAATGTTGTTTAACAACACACCAAGCGATGAACAAATTTAGGCATAAACATCACGTTGTACTTTTTCCCAGGCAGCCATGGGTCCATGTTCGGGCCTGTATTTAACGTTGCAACCATCGGGTTCCAAACGGTTGTCGTCACGCAATTCTTCGTAACGCTCACGGTCGTACTTGGTGAAGCCCCATTTCTTGGAAACGTAGATCTTTTGACGGCCAGGGAACTTGAACTTGGCACGACGGAGAGCCTCAATAACTTGAGCCTTGAATCTGTCGCTGGAACGCACCGACATGATGGGTTGTCCGATGCGGACACGGGCTACAGTACCTTGGGGTTTGCCGAAAGCACCACGCATACCAGTTTGGAGCCTATCAGCTCCGGCACACGATAACATTTTGTTGATGCGGATAACATGGAATGGATGCAAACGCATACGGATGTGGAATTGATCCTTACCGCAGAATTTCACCAAGTATTTGTTGCAGCAAATACGGCCTGCCTCCAAGGCTTCGGATGAGAGCTGTTCATATTCATCGGACACCAAGTGCACGCACAAGGGGAAGTCTTCTACGCCAGCCTTCTTTCTGCCCAAATCGAAGATACGAATCTTGGGATCGGGTACACCACGACAGAAACGGGATTTTGGGTAAGGCTTGTTTTTACAGTAACGATAACATCTCGCTGGACGGCGACCCATTTTTCCAACCGAACTTTACTCCGTCAGAAAAAGAAAGAAAGAAATACAGACGGAAGTTACTGAACACAGCAGTGGGAAGTGTTCAGAACTGTGTTCAGTGAATCACATTTTTTCTGTACGCCAGAGAGATAACGAGCGGACACACTCACACAAATTGTGGCGTGTTTGCCAAACGTATGACGTACATCGTAAACATGGTGCTGTCTGTTTGCGTTTGTTAATGATTGTACGCTTTGGTGGCAAAATATTTGTTGGTAAAATATGACTAGGAATTTGTTGGAATATTGATTTAATAGGAATAGAACAATTAACTTTTGTTATAAACTTCATAAATGTGAAAGGGTATAGTACGGATTTTATACATAACTTTCGAGTTTTATATATTTAGAAAAAATTCTTGGAATGTTTTTTTTTTTTTTTTTTTTTTTTTTTTTAAATATGGAGTGACATTTTTCACTTGACTTTTTGCATCTGGTATAGCTCTCTTTTAGGTGGTTGTAAATTTTGGAAAATGTTGGATTTATTTTAACTCCATCATCTTGATATTAAATATGTAATTTTGATCTCTTGCTCTCACTGTGTCTAAAATGTATGCGGATAATTGCTCTGACAAGTTTTTTTTCATGAAAATTCTGACTGTCGGAAATGTCTGTCGGTATATTTGACTGTGAACTTCATTTCCCGTATTGACTTTAGAAAACATTGTGCGTTTTTTTATATCTTCTTCTATAGAGTGTCCTCGTCTTCGCTCCGCAAAAGTTTGTTATTGGCCGCAGATGATAGTACCTCTCCATTTTTGGTACTAGTTTTTTGGTCCCTCAATAGATAGAAATTCGTCCAGGAAAAAGTTATTATATTACCATTTTTGCTGATGAAGGCGTTATGCTTCAATATTTTAAGTTAGGCACGACTTCAAATTGACTGTAATAAGGGATTTCGGATGCTCCAAATAGTTGTTCAGGTATTTGGATGGCGTTAATCTTCTATTAAAAATATTTTAATTAAAAAGCGGGTAATTAACTGTTTCATTAATAACACCCATTGTGAACATTTTTTAATTATCAACAATCAAAAATGTAACTTTGTAATTAACAACCCAAAAATAATTTATCTTTTTATACATATGACATTTTTCAATAGTTTCTAATATTTTAATCTATAAAAATTCATAATTTTTTCATTAACGTCCGACATGGTCAAGCGTTTGCCTTTGTAAATATTCTGTACGTTACACGTTGACGTATGCTCAAATACGTTGGCGTAAGATTATTTCATGTACGTTGACATTTACTTACAGAACACAGCTCAAAACACGAAACATGGCCAACAAGTGTTGTCAACATTGCGCATGACAAAAAAATCGACAAAACAAAAAATATTAACCCGCCTTTTAATGCAATGCACATTACATACAATGGGAATTTTATTTATTTATAATTTTCATTTCTATCAATTATTGTAATTTTAAATAAACCTTAACTTTTAAATTGGACTTTTAGATGCTACTTTTTACATGAACACTTGAGCCTTTTTCCAGTAAAACTCCGTTATTAGGATTTATTTTGAAGTACAGGAAATTGACCATATAAATCCACTGGGTTGTTTAATTCCGGTCTACCGTAAAAACAATAAGCCTTAGGGTTATATTCTTACCAAGACTTAAATCCTATAACTGTGATACTTATTTTATACATATCCATAGCTCCTTGGTGTAATATTTTTAAATATTTATGTACATATTAAGGATTAGTCTTTTCCACACGTTATTGAAGAAAATACTTCTATTTCATATTTAGTTTAAATCAAGTTCTTATTCCTTTTCCTTGTCCTTTTATTAATTGAACTTTAAAGCTTGCAAAATAATGTTAATCAATTTTTGTCACGACAACCACTTAAGGACACAATTTTTCATATTTATCCTTATTGCCCATCCCTACTTCCTGTTCGTCCTTTATTGTTTGCATATTTTATTAAGAACTGACCTACAATGTTTGTGTGTATGCGTGTGTTTGTATTATGGTAAAACACTTTTATTGACCTCTCCATTCCATTTTAATTTTATGACCTAACCCTTCCTCAATACCATTCATACATATTTTATTAATTTTACCCCCATTTTTCTATTTGCAGTTTGTGAAATTTGCCAACATTAATGAGGACACTCCTTCCTACCATCGTCGTTATGACTTTTTCATTTCGAAATTCTCTTCCATGTGTCATGGAAATAATGATAATATCGAACTGCGTGACAGTATACGTTTGGCTGGCATCAAGGGTGTTCAGGGTGTGATACGTAAAACTGTTTCCGATGACTTGGTTGAGAATATTTGGGAAAAACAACATATGGAGAAAATCGTACCATCGTTGCTATTTAATATGCAGGTGAGAATTGTCCGAGGCACAAAGAAGGCGTGTGTGCCAATTTTGCATTGTTGGGATTGTATCAATTATTTAGTATAACATTTTAATATGCACTTAGATGCTATATTATATTTATTATATTGATTAAGTGGGGTTTTAAGGTTTATACTGCAATCTCAAAAATTGAGGTTAGGATTATTAGATAAATTTATGTCTTTAGGAGAAAATAAATTAATGATAAGAAATTTTCTAATTCTCGAATTAGAATTAGAATAAAATAAAAGAATGGAATACATGTAAAGTAAAACTCAGAAAAAATAATTGCACCATAGACTTATTTTTTATAACATTTTGAAAATTTCAAATAAATGCAGAAAATACTATTTCAACATAACCTCAATTTAATTTTTTTTTTTGAAAATTTAACATTTATTCTATTCAATAAATGAGCATATATAAAAAAAATATATAGATTTTTTATTACCAAAAAAAAAAAAAAAAAAAAAACTGAACAAATATTTCTACTTTAACCTCACTTTTTTATAAAAATGTTAATAATTTACCATTTGTTCTTAAAATTTGGTATTTCTTCCACTAAATTAATGAAGATAGTAGCTAATTCAATTAACTGTTCTGAAAACTTCTCAAGTTTCAAGTAACGGAAAAGATAATTTAAAAAAAAACCTACATTTTTTTGAGATTTTGGCATTAAAATAAATAGCTAATTCAATTAAATGTCGACACAATGTCCGATATATTTTAATTAAAAATAACTGCGAAAAAAATATTTCTTTACCATAACCTTAATTTCTTAAAATTTAAGTTTATTCCATTAAATAAATGAACTTTAAGCTAGTTCAATTAACAACTAAAAAATGTATGTCTAATACCTCAGTTGTTATTATTACAAGTACGATTCTGAAAAAAATATTTCACCATAACCTCACTTTTATTAAAATTTTTTAAATTTTGTTATTAAATTAATAAATTCAATAGCTAATTCAATTGACTTCTATAACAACTTCTCATTAATTACAAATAATAGAAAAAAATTAAAAAAAAATAATAATTTCGCCATAACCTCACTTTTTATGAAATTTTTAAAATTTTTAATTTATTTCATTAAATAAATTAACACAATAAGCTAATTCATTTAATAGTTTAAACAACGTCTGATATATTTTAATAAAAAACAACTAAAAAAATATTTTTTCACCATAACCTCACTTTTTACAAAAATTTTGAAGATTCTACATTTGTTCCAGTGATAAATGAACATAATAGCTTATTCAGTTAACTGTTATAAGAACGTCTCGTTAATTACAAATAACAGAAATAAAATAGTTTAAAAATAATTTCACCATAACCTCACACTTTTTCATAAAATGTCTTAAAATTTGATATTTTGTTGCATTAAATAAATTAAAACCATAGCTTAATCCATTAAAAGATAAAAAAAATTTTTTTACAAATTTTTTGATTTTTTTAATTACAAATAAAATTCGAAAAAAAATTTCATCATAACCTCACTTTTTTATGAAATTTTGAAAAATTGATATTTTGTTGCATTAAATGAATAAAAATCATAGTTTATTCTATTAGAAGATAAAACATTTTTTTTAAATTACAAATAAAACTTGAAAAAAAAAAACAATTTCATCATAACCTCACTTTTTTATGAAATGTTGAAAAGTTCACATTTGTTTGAGTTGTGGACACCACTGAAGATCTGAAACACAAATAAAGTCTATTAAGATCATGTTTTAACTTCTATTAATGAGAATATCAAATAAACCTTTATAACCTCACTTTTTCAATGGCTTTATGAAATGGTTTTTATATAAAATATTTAAATTTTTGAAAAGTTTTTTTATTCTGTATTGTTGTTTGTTTCATTTTTCTTTTGTGATTTTGTTTGAATAACCCTTTGAAAAACACAAAAACCTCCCTTTTCCCTTAAAAAAATTGCAAATCACATGCAACAAATTCACAAATTAATAATTAAAAAAACAACAAATGAATTTTTTCTTTGCTTTCCACACATATATGCCACAAATTAACACACATGAAATACACTACTCGTCTAACGCGCGAAATACAAAAGTTTGGCGTTAACGTTATGTTTGTGAAGAAAAACATGTTGGCGGTAATATACGATTTTAATATAATGCAATTTTTCAATTTGTTGTTAATAAATTATTTAGATGTTGTTTTGGATCTAAATGGAAAAAGGAATAGTTTTTTTAATATAAAATGTTTTTATTTTCTTAATTCCCCATCTAGTCTGGCGATTTGACACCGGTGGAGGATGCCACCGTTGTTACACCACCGGTTTTGGCTGAGGAAGTTTTGCGAGAATTGGTTGGTCGTGCCTCATTTGGTCACATACGCAGTGTCTTGAAACCCTTGCTGACGTAAGTTTTATTTTCCATTTTTTTTAAAAATTTTAAATTAATATTTTTGTTCTTTATGTTCCCCACAGCCATTTGGATCGCCATGAACTCTGGGTGCCCAACACCTTTGCCATACACACATTCCGTATTGTTATGATTTCCATACAGCCTCAGTATTCGTATACTGTGGTCGAGACGCTCATGCAACATTTGGATAACAACTTTAAATCCTCTCCCAAGACTCGCACCTCTTTGGCTGTGGTCTTGTCGAAAATCATTGCCATAGCGGCTGGCGAGAGTGTAGGCCCCTCAGCCTTGGATATTATCAACAATCTGCTAACTCACTTGAGAACCAGCGTCAGTACAACAACTGAAATAACACCCGAAGAATCCCAATATCAAGAGGCTCTCATCAATGCTCTGGGTGAATTTGCCAATCATCATCCGGATTATCAGAAAATTGAAATTATGCTTTTCATTATGAACACCGTGCCGGATCTATCGAAGAAAAGCAAAGGCGATCAAATGTTACAGAATATCCTACTGAAATCGTTACTTAAAGTTGGCACTCAATACAGCACCACATCCTTTGAAAAAGCATTCCCAGCCAGTTTTCTCCAACCACTATTGAAAATGGCCCGCGCACCTCATGATCCGACACGTATTATTGTAATGCAAATATTCCAATCGCTTTTGGATCGTCATCAGAATGAAAAGGTTTTGAGTACGGTTAGTATTAAACCGTATGCTGCCCTTTCACAGGAGACACCCTCACGTTCGGACATCATATTTACCCATAAGTATGGGGCAAATATAATGCAGGCCCTTATCGATAGTATGGCATTGTCGGAGAAGCTGGATTCGTTGACATCAAGTTATAATACGGCGGCATTACTTATTGTGGAAATGGCTTGTGGCGAGACGGTGCAGGAGTTTCTACTATTCATATTGGGGTAAGTTGGCATTTTCAGTTTTTCAGAATTAAAATAATTTTTAAAACTATAAGTGCTATTTTAGTTTTGTAGACAATTCCAAATTGTCAAATCATTCCTCGATATTATTATAAAGTCCCATTCACATAACCTAAAATGTATACCTCTACCGCCATTTTACAACCTAACCTACAAATTTACAAAAAAAAGACTATGTTATTCAAGTCATTCAACCAAATTATTTCATAAAATATCTGAGAGTATGAGAAAAATTACTGGGAATTGTATTTCTTGTGAACCATTTGTATTACAACAACATTATTTCATCAACTTTGTGGTGCTAACATCATGATGTACCTCCTTACAGCCAGTGTCATTTTTTCAGGCCATCATTATTTAAAAAATAAACATAACCCTACATTTTTTTAATTTTATGATTCAAGACCTTTATGTGTTTAAACTTTAATCATCTCTATTCCAACTTCCAGCATTCAACAGGTTGCCACCACATCCGATGATCTGAGTAATATACACAAGTGTTGCCTTCACATTATCGCCATTGCATTACTTACGCTTACGGCCCGCGTTACGGGCATTAATAATCTACTCGAATATGCGCAAAAAATCATTGAAGATCGCAAACAAGAGGCTACATACTTGCTGCCACCGCTATTGGATTCGAAGAAATCGAATAAATCGTATAATTTAAATCTACCCCATTTGGCCATTGATAAAATGGCGTTGGCTGAATGTTTACAAAATGCTGGCATGGATTTCAATCGTCTACAGACCGGTGTACCATATGCTCTCAATCAAATCGATAATCCTGGTCATCGTCATTCATGGGTCGAGTCGGTTAGTAATCACATGACACATCGCAACAGTTCAGCCGATTTGACGGCCTATAATGCTGATGCGGACAGTATTAGCAGTTCACCGGGTGTTTCTAAGGTTCGTAGGGAGGCGAGAGAGAAAATGTGATTTGAAAGAATAAGGAATAATTTTGTTTTTTTTTTATTTATTTTGCAGAAAGCCTTGGCTCCCGAATACACCGTTGATGCCATGAAACGTTATTTGGCCGAACCCCCAGAATCTGTCAAGAGAGAACAACAGGAGAAACAAAAGCAAATTGTTCGCGCTTTCCGTGAAAGCGATTTTGAGGATCTTATGAAACGTACTGAACCAAAGGTAAGGAATGGGCATGGAATTAAAAAACCTGCCATAGTAAGGGAAGAATTGAAGAAAGTATTAAGTATTTGTACAATTAAAATAATTATTATCAAAGAGTTTTTTCCTTGACTTATTCTATATATAGAGAATGTCTAGAAGTTGGATGGATGGATGGTTAAGTCTGTAGAAAACTCGTTAAAGTTTTTTAAGTATGGTTGGCATGTAGAAAACATCCAGTTTGTTTAGTAGATCAGTAATGCCTGGTATATCGAGAAAAACAATAGAAGCTTTTCTAAGCCAAGAAGGCCTGCATGAAATCCTCTACGTCTAGAAGCCCTGTACAAAATCTTCATGGCCTAGGAGACCTGTATAAAGTTTTCTACGTATTGAACACCTGTATGAGGTAGTCAGCGGGTTCTACGTATGGAATACTAAAAAATACCTATAATACCTATAAAATACTCGTATAAGGTCTAATACACCGAGAAAAACTGTAGAAGGTATTCTATGTCAATTACGCTTCGAAAAGGTTCTCTGCGTCTTAAATACCTGTGTAACATATTTTACTTTTAAACGACTTATATAAGGTCTTATACGTCTAAAAGACCTCTACGTTTGAAGGATTAGTATAAGATCTTTTACGTCTTGAAACATGTATAAAGTCTTCGACGTCAATAATACCTGTGTAAGGTCTTTTAAGACTACAAGGTCTGTATATAACCTTCTAGATCGAAAAAGATTTGTGAAACTCTTCTAGAAGACCTGTGTAAGAAGTCCTACGTCTAAAACGCTTGTACAAGGTCTACTACTTCAAAAAGGCCAGTATAAAAATTTCAACATCTCGCCAACGCAAACTCGCCAACGTCTAAAAGACCCACATAAAGTCTTCTAAAAGAAAGACGCCTAAAAAACCTGAATAAGGTCCTACGTCTGAAAGGTTTGTACAAGGTATTCTACATCAAAAAGGCCTGTATAAAACCTTCTACATCGAGGAGATCTGTAGAAACTCTTCTACGTCTAAAAGGTCCACATAAAGTCTTCTACAAGAAAGACATCTAAAAGACCTCAATAAGACGTTTTACGTCTAAAAAACTCGAATAGGGTTTCTACTTTAAAATAGTCTGTATGAAACCTTCTGAATCGAAAAGATCTGTAGAAACTCTACTACATATGGAGGACCTATAGAAGGTCTTTTAAATATAACAGACCTTCCGAAGGTTTTCTTAATCTAGAAATTCTAGTATAGGGCCCTGTATAAGACCTTTGCTTTGTAATACTTTATTTAGGCCATGAAGGCTTCTGTGTTACAAGTGTAGATATAAATAAATAAAAAAAAAATAAATAAATAAAAAAAATTTAATCATGAAGACCTTTTTAGAGTCTTCTAAGTTTTGAAGACCTGCTAAGTCGCGAACCCCTTTAACATTTTTATACCCTCCACCATAGTATGGAGAGTATATTAATTTTGTCATTCCGTTTGTTACACCTCGAAACATACATTTAGACCCCACAAAGTCAGCATAAAATTCTATGTCGATTTAGCTATGTCCGTCCGCCTATCCGTCTGTGGAAATCACTCTAGCTTCCGAAAGAAATGAAGTAGGATGATAAAATTTTACTTAAATATATATTATGTCTGCAGGACTTTTGGTATTGAAAATGAGCCATGTAGGTCCACCATATAATGGTACATCCGCCCCCATATAATGGTACATCCGGATATTCGGTCTTTTGATGATTTTAGCGACATTATTCACAAATTTTTTTTTTTCATATTTGGTATTTGAAGTTCGTAATGAATACTACATCATATGACAGAAAATTGTCTGTGCAGGTCCACGTCTTCGTATAGCCATAATATAACGGAACCTCCCGATATTCGGTATTTTGATGATTTATGCGACATTATTCACCGGAATTGTTCCACATTTGGTATTTGAAGTTCGTATTGGATATTACAGCTTATGACAGAAAATTGTCTGTGCAGGTTCACGTCTTTGTATAGCCCCTATATAACGGGACCTCCCAATATTTGGTATTTTGATGACTTTAGCTCATTATTCACAGATTTTTTTCAAGTTTCGCATTTGAATATTGTAATGGCTTATAAAAAAAGTTGCCTATGCAGGTCCTTGTCGTCATATAAACCCTAATATAACAGAATTAACAGATTAAATAAAAATTTTAACGGATTTTTTTTTTTTTTTGAAAGTTGGAAAAATCGTTCCCTATGGTTAAAGGGTATTCAAAGATCGGCCCGGCCGAACTTACACCTTTCTTAAATATTTATGCTAAAATTAACTTTCCCAGCCTCTTCCAGATGAACTTCTATATACCTTTCTATTATAACTTTAAACATTCAATTTTTAATTTATTTAAATTTTTTCTCCATTTCAGCACGATGTCATACAAAATCGTCTCAATGACCTCTTCAATTCCCTGTCGATTGACAACAAGACTCCACAGAATGCCGCCAATCAAAATGAGAAACCCATTTATGAAACTAACTTTCCCGAATTATTTTACTACTAAAAAACAACACCACCACTCTATCTATATATCATATAATATAAAAATATACAAAATACATATGTATTTAAAATGTTGAAAATTTATTTCTAATAAAAAAAGAAGAATTGGCTTTGTTACTTGGTTTTTAAGAAATAACAATAAAATTGTTATATTTCTATTAAGTATTAATTATTAACAAATTTTTTATATATACAACACTAGTAGCCCCCACTTTCCCCTCCCCCTGACACAACACTCCCTTAGGAAAAGAAAATAATAGATTTCAATACCTACAAAAGAAAAGACGAAGAAGAAAAAAAAGAGATATTTTTTGGTTTAAGGCGCAAAAAAAAAACAGATTACGATATTTCCTTATACATATAATATACCTATACAAATTATATACATTATATAACCTTAAAAAATAAAAAAATGTAATAATCTTTAGCTAATTTGTTTGTTGTTTAATTGAAAAAAGAAGAAAATACTATTGTATTGTAACTTATATATATATATATATATATATATATATATATATATATATATATATATATATATATATATATATATATATATATTATTTTTTTGTTTGTTCCATATACTACTGGTAGTAAAGAGGTATGCAGGTGTTATCATCCCTTTTATAAGTTGTTGTTCCGTTTTTTATTATTATTATTTAATAAGATTTTTTATTATACATACTAAAAAAACAATTCAAGCATATATACATATAAACTTTTGGAATTTATTTATGTATTTCTAAAAAAATTGAATAAATAATAAAAACAATAAAAAAACAACCACCCCTACACACAAAACAGAGTTTTATTAAATTTGGTAGTGGGTTTCAATTAATATTTTTCATTCAAAAGGCATTTGTATTTTCCTCTTCTTCAATGTTATAACATAGCTATATTGAGTATGGACACCAACCCAAATTTTTCACATCGCCTCCATACGAATCTTTCAATTTCTTGTTATACCCTCCACCATGAAAAAGAGGGTATATTAACTTTGTCATTCCGTTTGTAACATCCCTAAATATTCGTCGTAGACCCCATCATAAAGTATATATATTCATAATCAGCATAACATTATAAGTCGATTTGACCATGTCCGTCTATCTGTTGAAATCACGATACAGCCCATGGTACAATGAATTCAAGGTAGGGCAGAACTACCATATGATTTAAATTTTTTTATTTTTCTGGCTTAATATGTCAACTTCATTTGCTTATGTGTGTGTCTTCTTTTCAATAATAAAAAATTGTTCAGAAAATATTCAAATTCGGGTGTTTTCAAAATGTTTATTGCAACGAATGTACGACAAAATCTACAGTTTTTGTCGCGAAATAAATCATAAGAGATATATAGAACATGATATTGAAAAGAAATTTTGACCATTCATTCAGTTTTCGCGGTTTTAAATTATTTATTCAAAATCAATGCAACAAGTTGTTTGCTTTTTTATTGTTTTGATAGCAATTCTGACATTACAAGCCAAACAGGTAGACCTCTATACTTGCAATTTTTTCAAAGTTGACCTACCTTCTCTTCATTGTACCATGATACAGCCCACCTTATTTGACGAAGAGCATGAAAATTCGGCAAACTAATTTGTATTGTGTCTAGGATGGTTAGTATTGGAAATGAGATATATCGGTTTTGATATAGCGGTATCTCCCAATATTCTGTATTTTGATGATTTTCGCCACATTTTATCACGGACTTGTCTAAAAATTGGTATTTGTAGGTAATAACGGGTTCTAGCTCCGGTGGCGAAACATTGTATGTATAAGCATAGACAAATAAAGGTATAGACTAAAAAGTTGTCTCATCTGTTATCTTCGAAAAAAGTGCTTCAATAGATGTCGTTCATGCTGTGAGAGAGGTTCAGTAGACTCACTCAATTCTCTCAAAATATAAAATATTGAATATTTGTATGATTCATTATTATTTATCAATTGAAAACGAAACAGTGACTTTGTTTACTTTTACATTATCCAACTATGTTGTGAAATATAAAAATATAGAACTTAAATAGCAGAAAAATGAATAAATTGTTTTCGAAGTCGATTGACTTCACTAGCCCTGAGTGACTTTACTGGCCCAAGATCAACCATAGTGACATCTGCCGGCAGGGGTAAATTTTAAAACTTTTTAGTCTAAACCTTTATTTGTCTATGGTATAAGTCCACGTTTTGTTATATCTCCCATATAACGGTACCTCACGACATTCGGTATTTCGATGATTTTCGCAACATTTTTTCATGGATTTTTCTAAAAATTGGTATTTGTAGTTCGCAATGGGTTCTAACTTCGGTGGCGAAACATTGTATGTATAGGTCCACGTTTTCGCATAGCCTCCACATAATGGTACCTCCAGATATTCAGTATTTGGATGATTTTTGCCACATTTTCCCACGGATTTGTCTAAAAATTGGTATTTACAGAACATTGAATATTTAGGTCCACGTTTTCCTATAGCTCATATATAACGATACCAACCGATTTTGTCTCAAATTTTATATTTAAGAATATTCGGTAGATGACAATCCTTGAAGTATAAACTTGTCTATAGAGGTTTCCGTTTTTGTGTGTCCCCATATCACGGCCTCACCCACTTTATGTTTTTTTTTTTTAATTTTAACAGCATTATCAAAACGGCCTTACTGGTGTTTGTTGTTTCAAGTGGAACACGATTGAATTTAGATACTTTTATATAAAAATGTTTTCTTTGCCCAAAGGCTGAGGGTATTAAAAGTTCAGCCCTGCCGAACTTATTAATGTTTTTCTTAATTTTTTCTAATTAACATTGTGTTGCTGAAGTATGCCATACTGATTTTCGGCCACTGGTGGCTATCTGTCATTTTGGGATGGAATAACGTCTACAGAGTGTTTACTACTGTCGACTAGGGTGAAAGCGGCCTGTTTGTGTCACCTTTCCTGGTATCCTTGTCTGTATTTTGTAGTGTACTGTTGACGTCGGATCCATGCATTTCTTAACCATTATAATTAAGCAAATGTTTAACGTCTCGAAACCATCATAAATTGTAGTGGGACATTTTCGCTCTGAGTGGCTTTAAAACAGCGGTGCTCAAAAAGAAGTACTCTTTTCAGTAAAATTTCTCTTTGCTTATTTAAATCAAGAACAAAACAGTGTTATGTCATTATTTATACAAATATTTTTTATCCATTTGCTTTATAAATTATTTTGGCAAACATTCGTGTTTAAAAACAATTAAATACAACCGTAAAATATAAAGAAAAACAGAATTTTAATTTTCTCTTAGATTATCTCTTTTTTCTCTTCGTGTTCTAGAACACGGGTTTGAGCACCCCTGCTTTAAAATGACTTAGCAGACTTCTCTTTGTGTGCATTTTGAGAATATAACTATAAAACGAGTTTTCACCTGGTGGAGGAAATAAAAATTTCATCCCAGTCGAAACTTATTATACCCCAATTTAAACCACCTAAACTCCAAAATAAAAAATTTTTGAATATTTTTTCCATACAATTTATATTTTATTATAAACAATATCAAAATTATATAACAAGTGCTTATTTATTATACAATAAAAAAATAATAATTTACGAAGAGAAATTTTTATTAGGGAAAAATTTCTTCTTTAAAAGATTTAGGATTCCATGGCAAAAGAAAAATTGAGTTAGGAATTTTGAAAATGTTCATATATATAATTTCTAAAGATATTTTCAGGTTATAATAATACGAAAAAAATTGAATTCTTGTGCGATATTTTTTCTCTTCACTGAATATCATATATGAAAATGAATATCTTCGTTTTAATATCCAAAAACTTATATAAAAAATATATATAAAAATAATTTTATTGAAAAATTGTATAAAAAAATAAATGTTAGTATATACTCCATTGCAGTGATTTAGTACATATGATTTTAGATTAATAAAATAAGAATATAGGCCTTAGAAAAATTAGATATATAGTTAGATATAAATACACAGAGAATTTATGGCAAATGGTAGTTTTCTGTTTTAATTATAAAACACATAGGTATTTATAGATTTCATGAAATTAATTTACAAAAGTATGAATTGAATTTAAGGTTGGTTATATGCCAATAAAGAAACAGACTCACTTAAACGAAAGTTTGTAGATTATTTCTCTGTTGAAATATGCGAGCATTTTGATTAGTTTTTTTTTTTTTTTTTTTTTTTGTTAATTAATTATGGAAAAAATATTATTATTTATATATAATATAAATATCTAATATTTACAGTGTAATATAAAAAATTGTATATATAACAAAAAATATATATATATTTGGAATCAATCCCAATGATATATATAGTACATAACATATATCATTTATTATTATGAATTATACAACGAGAGTGCCGCAAATGCACATATGGCGATTTTTTTTTTGTTTGTTTGCTTGATTTGATTTACGCTTCTTTTTTGTATTCATTTTCTCAATACAAAGCACCGGTTTTTTGTAGTTTCTAAGTAAAAAAACAAAGACAGATTGCAGCATTCTCTTTCCCCGTCCTCCTTAGCAGTAATACTCTCTAGAGTTCTACAGAAAATCTGTAGACGAAAATGAAGAACTTGAGGCAGTTGATGATGATGTTGAGGTCGCCGAAGCTGAACGATGACTAGTTGCCATTGATGAGGATAAATGCAGAGGGCCAGCATTTGGTGGTGACGGTGGTACCAAACACACCGCATTGCCCTCATCCAACATACCACTGCTGGTGGGTGTGCTGGATCTTTCACAATTTGCTCCTATTTCCGATATGGGTACCGAAGCATTGGCAAATTCATCACAGATTAATAGATTTTCTTTGAACGTTTGTGGTGCTGGTGGTACAACCAGAACATTGACTGAGATCAGCAAAGGATGCACCAATTTGGCATCCATCACCATAAGTGTGACTTCTTCGTTTTTCTCCAAACACAATGAGGTAATGTCGGATTTTTGTGTGTAGACAGGTTGGCGTTGATTGTTAATGGATGTTACGGAAGCTCTGAAATTAGAAGAAAAAATTATTGCTGTCCTAGAAAAAAAAATTTCGGTTCATCCTCACCTGATCATAAACTGCCGCTTAGTTTGTAAACTCAACAGGCGTTCATGTTCATTACGATGATGCCTACGTATGCTAAGTATACGAGAGTCGGCAATGAGTATAAGATCCAGTCCAAAATTAAATCCCGTCCAACGCCATTTTTGATAGCCCGGCTCCAGTAGAATCCGTCCACAACGCATACAGTTTTTAAAGAATTCATCTGGATTGAGATCTTTGGGACTGTAATGAAAAATAAATAGGAAAAAATGTTTTATAATGGAATTTACAGTTTTATTGGAGGACATAACCAAGCTGAGGAATTGTATCCCAGCAGTTTGAAATTAAATCATTTAAGAACAAAAAATATTGTGATCACTCGTTTTCCTCTGAAAATACCCTCTACATTTATATCTCAATTTTACGCTCCCTCCTTTTTCTCTCTCTATCTCTCTTTTTCTCTCCAGTCAGCAGCACAACCAAAAAGCGGAAATTAAATGGCAATGTTCATCTGTTGAATCATTATAATAGTTGTTAATTATTACTTCGGCATAATCCGGCAAAAAAGCATACCTCATAAACACATTTGCCTCATCATTCTCCCACATCTTCCGCTAACTATTCATTAAATTTTCTTCAACAAACTCGAAAAGGGAGACTTGTTCACAATTGGAAAGGAAAGTATTTGATTGAGGTAAATAGTCCCTATTAGAGGCAGCTATTCGTCCTGTAATCGAATCTAAGATAACGGGCTTTGCTTTCTAGATAAATAATGTCTATCTTGTCTTGCTTGAGTGGAAAAATCCTGTCTATAATACTATTTCGAGAACTATCAAGTCTTGCCTTGGAAGATTCTACATCTTATATGAGACCACCACCATTCCACCTGTTCCTTATCCTAACATTGTCCGCAGAATTCAAATATAATCAACAATAATTTGACAATTTTTAACTGGGTTTAATTGATAGGTAGTAGAAATAGAACTCTTCGAGCTAAAGTTTCTGGCCACATCGAGAACGAAACCTTACTCCTGAACTCAATATGTCAGATCTTCGCAGCTGCACTCCGATAGAACTTAGGTTTTTTGATGTAATCTCCCATAATATTTGAGTGTCCTGGTACGCAACAAAGGATTTGATGAAGAAAGACTTTATTGCCCAAAGGCCAGCCATACGATCTACATAAATTGTGAGCATGACCCGTCTTTTTCTTTCAAAAAATAACACTGCATTTAGTAATAGATTAGAATAGACTTTTAAAGGAATACAGTGCGTGTTCATTCTTCACCCAATTGGGAGACGGATCTTTGACCCGATAGGCCGGGTTCAAGGCTAGGCTAGGATCCACAATATAGGTTTCGCTTATGAAAATACCTATCCAACAAGAGGTCACATGATAGGGTTATTTAAAGCGTTTCGGAAGTTATAGTCAAATTATCAATTTTTTGGACCCGGATTCCCCCAAAAATCGCAAAATGGCCCGTTGTGGGTGTCAATAAAATTTAATATAAAATCTGGTCAATCATAGTAGCAGTTTCCCGGAATCAGGGTAAAAATTCCTCCTTCTGAAAAAAATGTCGAAAAAATCGAAGAGTTGAGTTGAGAGCATTGAGGTTTTTAGCGCTAGGATCTTAGTAGTCCAGTGTCCGAAATGACTTAAATATTTCCAAATTGTTCTGCTGTTGTTATTTTCATGGTCAAATGTCAAATACAAAATGGTTAAAATATCAAAGTCGACTAAAAAATACAATGTCGTCACAATTTTTTGCGACGACAAATTTTCTCTAAAAACGACTTCACGTCGACTGTTGTATCGACAATGATTAAAGCAATTATTCATCGCTGCCGACAAAAAACGATAACCCTAATAACGTTATTGTCGCCTTGACTTCATTTTGCGCAACGACAACCGTAATAGGGCCGAATATAATTTACTCTTAAGCGGCCGTTGAAGCATTGGAGAAATACAGAGTGAATACCGCCATCGATAATCATCCGCCCCCTAACACAATTGAAGATCGAGAGCTGCATTGACAAACCAGTGTAGTTTTGTCGCTTCAATTTGTATTGGGTTCGAATTGACAGCAATGGGCAGAACACCTGACCACATGACACGCCGCACCTCTTAAACGGACCAGCCAAACCTACCCGCCTAGCTCGCTATGCAGTTTAAACCATAGAAATACCATAAGAGAATACATTGCGTATTTTCCACCGAAATTGGTAGTCCAGAAGAACATTGAAATGCTCCTCATCCAAGGGGAATTTAAATTCTACCCAGAATTGTTGGCAAAAAGTAGTCAAAGATTTCGGCCTGATTAATAGTTCCAACTCTTTTATTGGCTGGATTTACTTCGAGTTTATGTTACTACTACTACTTTCCTAAAGAGCCCTGCATTTGTTCAGACAAAATAAAAGAGAATTTCCCACAACATATTTGTAGACACAACCAAATCATGGTTGTGATTAAATAATAGGATAAAAGTTTCTGTTCTCCCAAATGTTTTCTATGCAGTCAAATGGGATGAATGATGTAGGCTACATGATGTGGAGGGCTACCTAAATCGGCCTTCGTGAAATTCGATTTTCTATATTTGCCTTTTAAAATATAACTTCAAATAGTGCCACCCATACGGATCTGGTCTGAGTGAAGTGATTCTTGCAATTTCTCTCCTACTCTTCATAAAGTAATTGGGAATAAGTTATAAGATTTGAGAATTGATTGATAAAAAACAAAGTGGGATACTGAAGGCTTAAATGAAGGTACATATTCCACAAGTTTACATCACAGACGTGTTAGAGATGCTTATTCAGACTATTTCCGGAAAGACCAATTGGCAAAAAAAACCCCAAAAAATACATTTTCCGAATAAAAATATTTCCATTGGGGATAAATTATAAGATTTGAGAATTGATTGATAAAAGACAAAGTGGAATACTGAAGGCTTTAATAAACGTATATATTCTATGAGATTACATCACAGACGGGTTAGAGATGCCATTGAGACTATTCCGAGAAGCCTAATTGGAAAGAAATAACTTTTCCAAATCATATGCCCTAAAATGTTAAAAAAAGCTCATTTTGGAGAATGAAACCTAAGATTTTGGGCCCTTGGCTATACTCGATTTTTACATTGGAGTAGAATGGATTACTTAAAACATTTTTGAGGTTATGACAGCAAAAAGTAAATGACATGCGAACATAAATTGAAATCAAAATTTCCATTTCCAATTTATATATTCTAAAAAAGTCTAATTCAGAGATCCAATATCTCATCTCCCTGTATTCGATAAAATATCTTCTTCCCACAGTCAAATACCCCACCCCCAAACAAAAGAGAAAAAAAAAACTAAAAAAAGGTCTTTGTTAAAAACGTAAAAGAAATAAAAATTTATTCAGTTCGAATATAAAAATAAAAACAAACTCATATAACCATTATCAACTACTATATATAAAAAATGTAATAACACAATGAGAATTCAAAATCTTTTAAATGCAAGGCATTGAACTAATATCAAACAATTATAGTCTATACATATATGTAACATGTGTGTATGTATGTCAATTGGGAGAAAGGAAATCAACTTCAATTACTAGGTACACTGAAGAAGAAGAATAAGAGAAAGACGTTCTGTCTGTATGGCGGCAGTTTGGATTGAACTTTGGTTTCATTTAAATGCGCAGTGCAATGCAACGTTACACGTTTACATTAAACAAAGAGCCTATATCGAGATGTTGGACTACTTGATGTACAAATGAATTGTATTCTAAAGCATTTATTTGTACTTGTTTTTTTATAACAATGTCTGTTCCCAGGTCTAGCATCTTGCCTTACTATAATATATGCGTGGAGAGAGAGAGAGAGAGAGAGAGAGAGAGATAAGAAAGAAAAGAAATATGATAAAAAACACATACACAAACTCAAATCGATTCTGCAAACAAAGAAATGAGATGCACATAATTTTATTATCCATATCAAATCTTTGGCTGGAATTGATCTTTTGATTTAACCTATAAATATTGCCTTCACTTACCCCTCTTCTGGCAAATGATCCACCTTGAGTATGGAATTCCAATTACTCAGCACATGATTGTGAAGCCATTCTTTGGGTATAATATTGTCGTTAAGTACAATTTTCAAATCCATATGATGATTGGTAAGATATTGTGTGCGCAGTGCTAGGAAAGGTTTTAGAAATTGTTGACCATCCGGCGTCGAGAGGAATGAACGTTTTTCTCGACGGCTGGTGAAAAAGTTTTGTACAATATCATTTGAGGTTACGGGCGCCCGATCCGAGGGTGAATTGGATAGTGACGAGGAAGATGAGGTGTTATTCGATTCATTTGATTGCTGCTGTAATTTTAATTCCTCCAACTGTTGGGCCTGATGTTGAGGATTTTCGGGATCATAATTTGGATGTAAACGTAAGTAAATCCAATTACGCAGTAGCGTATACAGCGAATATTCTGTCTGCATAACATATAGATCTGGACTAGATATCAATGCTGTCATTAGTTCAATACTAATTTGACGTAATAAATTCGGATATTTTGTATATATACACAGGAGATTGATCTCCAGCCATACAAAGGCAGATTTCTTGACATTTTGACAGCCATATTGACAGGCAGCTTCATAGTAATTTATGGCAGTTTCAGCATTTATTGATTCAATCATAACCTCAGCACATTTGTCAATGATGCCATCCAAGTGGAAAAGTGTGGCAGTCGCTAGCACAGATATGACACCCTTGGCATCGATTTCAATTTCATCGGAGTACATGGAACCAAAAACAGCATCCAAAGCTAGAAACAAAGAAAAAGAATTTTATTAGAAAAATGAAATATCTAAAATGGTATTGTTGTATCAAATCGTATTTCAATAAAATCCATTTTAATAAGTTAAAAAACATCAGTCGGTTTTGCCGACAGATGTATACCCCAGCCTAGAGTTATAATTATTCAAACTGTTGACTCTTTATGGGTGAGGTTCTGCAGCAGTTGCCAAATTCGTATCTGACCTAAGACTGATATAAATATTACAAAGTGCCAGATTTGGACTACATCCACTACTTCCTATACTTTATATGATATGTTCAAATTTTTGGAAAATATGCAAATATGCGTGAAGTAACAGAATACCGGACCGAAGTATTCCATTTTCATACTTCATCTAATACAGATAAAAATATTAGTATGTGCAAAATTTTATGGAAATCGAACCTTTATATTCTATTTATGCGAAATCATAAATTCCGATAAATTACTTGTTCATATTAGATTTCTTGTTAAGTGAAATACCAGAAGTAATGGTCCGATATCTACCTTCTTTACAACAGATGTTGTGTTGATGCGAATATTGAGATGTGCCAAGTCTACTCAAAATTATGACTCTTTGTGGGTGAGGTACCAGAAGATGTGAACTGATATATCCCATCTTCACACCAGACCTTGTGTTAGCAGAAATAATGAAATTTGCGAAATTTGAAGAGAACTGGATGGTTATTTCGGATTTTATGATCGTTTAGGCTATTCAAAATTTTGACTGTTTGTGGGGGAGGTACCAGAGGGAATGGTCCGATATCTACCATATTTATGACACACAAGATGGTTGATGGAAATATTTAGATGTACCAAGTCTGAATGGTATCGGATGTTAATTTCGCGCTTCATGATTATTCAAAATGTTTACCCTTTCTGAGGGAGGTACCAGGAGGATTAGACCGATATATTCCATCTTCATAGCAGATCTTGTGTTAGTAGAAATAACTGGATGTGTGCCACATGAAGAGAACCGGATGTTTATTTGGGATTTTATGATCGTTTTGGTTATGTAAAACTTTGACCTTTTGTGTGGGAGTTACCAGAAGGAATGGTTCGTTCTCCACCATCTTTATAACAGATCTTCTGTTGATGGAAATATTGAGATGTGTTAAGTCTGAACAGAATCGGATGTTAAGTTCGCGTTTTATTAGCTTCATAAATATTTATAATTTTGACCCATCCTGGGGAAATACCAAATACCTTGGATTAATAAAAATATTGTGATGTGTGTAATTTGAAGACAATCGGACACTTACATCACATTTTACAAGAGTTATAATTATTCAAAATGTTGACCCTTTGTGTGGGGAGGTACTAGATGGAGTGGAGCGATATTGTCCATTTTCACACCTGACCTGGCACAGATACAAATATTAGGATTTGCAAAGTTGGACCAAATTCGTATTATCCTTTCTCTTTCTGTGCAGTAAATTATTTTCTTTGAAACTATTGACATTTTGTGGGGGAGGTACCGGAAGGAATGGACCGATATTCCCATCTCCGAACTCGATTTACGTTTGTCAATAATATTACAATGTACCAAATTTGGATCAAATCGGATACTCCCTTCAAGAGTCAAGCAGACAGACGGACAGACATTGCTATATAGACTCCAAATGTCCTGAAACGGATTTGGTCCAAAGAGACCTAGGATCTAAAACCCTTATTGCGATGAGGTACGTTTTGGTCGTATTAAATGATACCCTCTGTAGCCATATGGCTGAGGGTATAATCAAATGGTATACATACTCTCTCTAGCCATATAACGGGGGGTATAACAATTAGAGGAAATAAAGGATTTATTTATCACCTATGAAGTTTTGAAATAGAGTTAATTCAGTTGAAACATGTTGAAAAAACTTCTATAGATCTTAAATTGATCGAAATACCCGTTTTATTTGATTCTAGTAAAATACGTTGTGCCCAAAAAGTTGCTAAAAAGCCTGGAAAAAGTATGTCCATATTGACAAACTTCTAAGGATTGATATTCCTTCCAGACGATTCATATGGTTACAAAACTAATTCTACCGTCAGGAATTTAGCCAATTTTATTTGTAGACATGACATTAATCCTTTGTGTAGATAATTTATTTCATATAAAAATCGCAATTTTCATGACCATACCAAAGGATGTAAGACTTGTCTTTTGAAGTACAATCATTTGAGAAATTTTTTTTGCAAAAGCTATGTAAACACTTCTGTTTATCTATATAATCAAAAGGCAATCAAAACTTTTTGAAGGGCCTTTTTGTTTTTCTAGACGATTCGTAGCCTTAACAATCGTATATAAATAGTTCTTTATCATGGTCACGGTCAATAAGCAATCATTAATTAGGTCATTGCGATAAAGAAAATAATAGAAGAGATTTCCTGAGGGAGGAATATACACCTTTCAAAAGAAGAAACAACAAATCAAATTTGAAAAATCTCTTTGTTCTTCCAGACATTTCGTTGCCTTGATAAGCTAAAAAAATAAACACAGGTTTATTTTATGGTCAGGGTTCTTTATTTGCACTTAAAAGCCCAATTCTAACAGGAAAATCAATTGTCTTAGCAACAAATAACTACTATTCCACTTACATACACCCTACAGCATTTGGAAATATCTACAAAATCAGCCTTACCACTTATATTATCTATAAAATGTCTATATAAATTTATCAATGATATGATACTCACATTGCCACCGACATGCTAATCAGACACAATGTTCTTGTCTATTCATATAAATCATATCAGTTTATGTTTAAATTATAAAATTTTAAACGTGTGGACTATTATGGTGGAATTTATGACTCACATTAATTAACTTTTGTGATAGTTCGCCGATTCTACATGGCCTGGTTTTAAATGTTCATTCGAAAATGATCCCAAAACAAAAACACCAACTCCTTGTATTTTTTTTATTTTTGATTATTTTAAAAAAATTCTCATGGATGTCTTTCGAAATTAGTCTAGCCATCAGCCTCCTTCATTAAAAGCATTACAGTCTTAAGGCATCTACAATATTTAACATTCGTATCTCCATACGGAAAAAGTCTCTAAATTTTGTTATTCACATCAAACTGAGTCAGACCATCAGCCTCCTTCCTTAAAAGACTTTCACTCTTAAAGCAACTACAATATTTAACGGGCAACTTAAGTTAAAAATTTTCTTCATAAGAGTTTCAGGCCCTTGGTGAGGCAACAACGTTTCATAGGGCAGTTTTTTTAATGTCATTAAAACCATATATTAAATATTACGATTTAAATCGTAGAAATTTCTAATATCTTCGAAATTAAAATCAAATATTAGCTCAAGTCCTTATATTAGGGTATAGTAAAATTTACTGTTTCTTGAATTGAAAAGTGACCTGGGTAACGAAAATATGGAGGGGAAAATGATATGGAAATGTCTTCACTCCATATACTCAGCTGGCTTGGACAGCGAAAAAGGAGATATAGACTTTATATCTACATTCATGACCATAACAACAGCTGATACTATCATTATATGAAAAAATACGCTGCACTTGTTTAATTGTCCTGCCAAACCTACCCAACTCCGTCCAGAGGATCTATGGCTACAGCCCATAAAGGTAGCAGAATTCCTAAACCTGGACATTGAGGAAGAACTAGATTAACAACAGAACGTGTAAAACTGCTACAACAACAACAATCATTATATGAAAAAGGAGAGATCAATTCCGATTAGCATCTTCATACTATTACTATTGCAAATACCAAGGAAAGAATAGAGACTGATGAGTACTTCAAGGAGCTGAAAATCAGGGGCTTAGGACACTAAAAGGAGATAATGGGCTCCCAATAGGAATGTCATTTTTAATGTTGACCATTGTAGGTCTGCGCTGGAAGCTAAGGGTAGACTTCGGGGAGGTACCGAAGCATTATTGGATATGGGAGTGTTAACCTACACCTCTGCTACTACTTTGATACTATCTGTAAGGTATCAAGGTCAATCTGCCGAATATTTTCAAATCGTTCAAAACTTTTTCGTTTTCATAAAATCATGCCATACGGCAGTTGGCTATGGAGTTGGTTAACTTCTCCATCTTCTCCAATCTTCTTCTGATTGTTAAACTTTGCACTTCGCACTCCTTCATCGGCTCTAGTGGTTATCTTGTGATAATTTGGCAACTACACGTCCAAATCATAACTTAGCTAACATACAGAAAGATTATTATAATACTAAACTTCTGTTGATCACGTAACGGATTTTAAATCAGATCTTTAAAATGAAGATATCTTAAATGCCTTATCTAATTCTCAGACTGGTTATGTCAAAAACATTAAACTTATGTTGGGAAGAATCTATTTCCCGTAACGGATTTTAGATCAGATATCACAAATGACCTTACAAAGCTCGCCTACTGATAAAAGACTTCTATTCTTCTATTTAAAGAGAACTTTCCTAAGGGTCAAATTTTATGGAGTATCTCCCGAAATTCTTATGATTGAAGACTCTTTACAGTTAAATTATTGATGGAGAACCCTTTTTTAATTTCGCCCTAAATTCGAACAAATCTTTGAATGAAATTCTGTGAACCGAGAGAAGACTAAAAGAAGATACAAGATGACGGGCAGTATCAAGAAAGAACAAATAAGATCCACCAAGGCGAACTTTTAATACTTTGGAATTTGTAACTTAAAAGTTCATATACCTATGTAACCAGAAACATTAAAGTCGAACCCTGAAATATCAAATTACAGCTGATTTATTTGGGTAATAATTGAAGGACTTTTAAGTTTAGACATGTTTTTTCTATACTCAAAAGATCTTCCACAGATCTTCTATAGTAAGAAATTAATTTCTAGGTCATTTATAGATAGAAAAATAGTTACTTTATAGATAGAAAAATAGATCTTCATCTATAAAAGTCCTAAAAGTCCCTTCTATATATATACTAATCATCTACAGAAAACCGTCTACTACAGAACTATCATCAATAGAAACACCTTAAGCCGTAGATATTAAATAACTAAAATCTAATGAAAATACGGATCCCCGACGACCTTCCATATGTATGATCTACATATTCCAATAGTCTACAGAGGTTCTACCATCTATAGAAACACATTTTTTGGCTTTCATCTAAAGAGATTAAATATCCAAAATCTATCCAAAATCACTCTCCAAAAAGCCATTTCGAGTTTTTCCTAAAACAAATACCTTTCCCTTTATTCACGAAAAAAATCCATGTACTTACCATCCAACGTTATTCGCTCGTCCAAAATTTTAATATGCACGAAATCCTGACACGATTCCTTCCACGAACCATTAAACATGCTATAGAAGTATGGACTTTGCGACAAATAGACTTTGTGCAGATTCCATACTTTACCCAATGCCATAATGGCTATGTCGGAGTTCTTTTGTTCCTTAAACAGGGCCTGATAGATGTATTGCGTTGTGGTCAAAAGTTTCTTTCTGAAAGTAAAAGTAAAATGTCAAATGACCACAAACAAGACATAAATAAACATTTTTGACATACTTTTTGGGGGACTGTGATTCGCTGTTGGACTCTTCGCTGTTTGTTTGAAGTGAATCAATGCTGCGTTTACGTTTGCGACGACCACCCAATATATCGGCAACATTGCTTACCGGTTGAGCTAATTTCACGACTAACTGACCCATGTTGTTCAAGTCTGTGGCGAAGACTGGTTGATTGGTTGTTTGGGGGTATTGCTGTTAGGTGGGTGATGGCAGTCCGAGCTGATAAGTGTGCGCGCCTAAATACCGGCCCAGCTGTTGCTGTTTAAAAACACGCACAGAGAAAAAAGCACACACGCACAATTGCCTTTGCGGTTGGTTTGTTGTTTCTTTCTTTAGGTGTTGCTTAGTCTGTAAAAAAACGAGCGGAAAAAAGAAGAGAGTAAGGATTAAGTAAAGAGAGTGGGTGAGAAAGGTGTAAGAAAATTATATTTAAATTTGATTTATATCTGTTATAACAACTACAATAACTAGGTAGATCAGAGACGCAATAACAACAACGTTATGTTGATAATTATTAAAAAAAAACTCTGTTTTGTTTTCTTATTCTTTAAGTCTGTCTGGGTTACTTATCTTATCTTATTTGCAAAAAATGTGTACTTATAATTCCTTGTGTTATTATTGTTATTGTAAAAAAATATAACACAGTGGTATAGGTATAAACAATAACAACAAATCTTAAAATGGCATGGCGTTAAAGGCGCGAGAGAAAGAGAAACGAAAGTAAGAAATAAAAATCCAAACACTTGTGATGACATACATCTCCAATTTTTTTTAAATATACATTTGTACATATAAACAAATCTATATTATGGAACAACAACGAATAAAACAAGGAAACCAAAAACAAAACATAAACACAATTTTGCGACGATATCATTTAAAAAGTTCATTGCTCGCAAATATACATATTGCACATTAGGTGGGTACGGTTATTATATGTAAGCATTGTTTATTTTTTATAAATAATTTCGAATTTTGGATATTTCAACAGATGGCAAATATTGAGCATTGTTAACATCTGTCATTTAATTATGTCATAAATCAAGACTGTTTTGGAAGAAGAGAGCGAAGGAATTGAAACGAGTATTTGTGAGAACATGAACGTTTTCTATGAGTCTCGGCATGATATAATAACACTGTACAACACAAAAAATAAAAGAAATCCAGCAGGTTATAAAAGCAGAGCTAGAAATAGAAAACACATGTATCGGCTTCTCGTAATTTTCTTTCACATTTTTTAAAAATTTTGGAGTAAGATTCCTTGAAATCCGTTGATTTTAGGTACATAATGTCTTTGCCAATATTGTAGATAAAGAAACATAGACTACTTTGGTTATTTTTTTTTTTGGTCTTTTTGAAAAAAAAGGTATGAAACCCCCTTTGAATGGGATCGTAGCAAGTCCGAAGATTATACACAATCATTTCTCATTAAATTTTTATATAGGTCCTGGAAGACGTCAAACTTCAGACTTCTTATTATGGATCATGCGAGGGTCTTGGTCATTTTTTCTAATCGATTAGGCTGCAGCTTTATATTTTAGTTACTTCTCAGTTTCTTTTTTCAAGATAAAGTAAATTTGTCTCCATTTTTGTGTGGTGTTATTTTTCATATTTTCCAAAATAGCAAATGTGCGATTTTCTAGTGTAATTTTGAAAATAAGGTCGCACGTTTATTTGTTTACTCAAACAATATTTGCACACAGTATTTTTAGTTTTTATCTCAAAAGCAAATATTTGATTTGTTAATGCTACTAATATGTATAACAATAAAAATTCGTACTTTTCGAGATTAAAGCTATACAATTCGTTGAAGGGTAATTTTCATATGTGTTTCAGAAAGTGTGAGAGAGAAGAATTATTCGCTTTTGATATCTTACATATTTTTATAAAATATTTTACGGACTATTATATCAGTTGCTTTTAGAGTAGTTGCCTTACGCCCAATTTACTATAGATTTATCTGTTTGTTTTCCTTCAGTAAATGTCCAGCAGGTTCATTCTGAGAGAGGATGGTAGCTTTCTTCTCTTTTGCGAGAAAACTGTAAAAAAATAAACAAAGGGAATTTTGGCAAAAATTTCCAAGGAATCAGCTGATTTGTCAAAACGAAACAATTTGTCCGCCATAAAAAAATGAAGAATGAAAATTAATATGTAAAAAAGCTGTAAGTTCGTCAGGGTCGATCTTTGAATGCCCTCCACCATTTGGAACGATTTTGGCAATTTTCAAAAAAATCCGTTAAAAATTCTGTTAAAATCTTTAAAAATACCGAATGTAGCCGTTATATTAGGGTCTATACGACGACGTGGACCTGCATAGGCAATTTTCTGTCATAGGCTATAGTATCCATTACGAACTTCAAACACCAAATTTGAAACAATTCCGGTGGATAATGTAGCTAAAATCTGTAAGATACCTTTATATTGGGGCTATACGAAGACGTCGACCTGACAATTTTCTCTCATAGGCTGTAGTATCCATTGCGAACTTCAAATACCAAATTTGAAACATTTCCGGTGAATAATGTCGCTTAAATCACAAAAATACCAAAAAAGGGAGGTACCATTACATGGGGGCTATACCAAAACGTGGGCCCACATGACCCATTTTCAATACCAATACCAAAAGTCCTGCAGACATAATACACTTTTGAGTAAAATTTTATCAACCTACTTCATTTCGTTCGGAAGCTAGAGTGATTTCCACAGAGGGACAACCGGACAGACATCGCTAAATCTCGCCCGGACAGGGCGCAAAATGCATACAAATAATTATGGCCAGTGTGGGCGATCTACTTTGAGGCGGTGGCAATCTTTGTTGCCTCTGTCAAATGTTGCGTTCATGAAAATATTAAAAGCTTATTCAAGAGTAAAAGGACTGTCAACGTTTCTCCCTAAGACTTCTCATTACTGTAGAACGTTTGGGAACTTTACGACTTCCAGTGATTATTGCAAATTTAGGGCAAACGGACACACATTGTGTTTAATTACTCTTTACCTATCCATATTTATATGGATAAATTTATTTAAGCATTTTTTTATTTTTTTTTTTTTTTTTTTGGAGACTCGGATGTTTTTCAATACAAAACAAATTAAATTCGTGAAAAGGTGAACTAAAAATAGAAAAGGAGCTTTAAATGTAATTTTTAAATAAAGAGAAGTTTAAATACTTATAGTTTTATTACCCAAAAGAACTCCTAATCTTAGATCCTGAAATTAATTTGTAATAAATAATTAAATAATTGAAGATTAATTCTGAAATAAAACCACACTTGTGGTTCAGTTCATTTAAAAGAAACCACAATCAAAACAAAAACTTTGATTTGCAATCGAACCCAAATTTGTATCGTTTCCTTTGTTAAATATACTGTCAAACCCTGCCAGACAGAAGCTTAAGACAATAAATACAAAGACCTAAAATGGTAAAGACTAGACAAAATGCATTCTGAGCAAATGGTTTGTGGCTATACTACCTTGAATAACAGCTCATGGCATAGGCATGTTAATATAAAAAAACACAATTATAGGAAAGAATGACAAATAAAAGTTTGGATAATCCAAAATATTGGTTTCAAAATTCTATTCAATATACCTTCCCAAATAATTGCATATGGCCTTAGCGGTTGAAATTGCTTAACATTTGTAACTATGTTGTTACGATATCATAACAACAGAGGCCTTTTTCACAGGGTTGCCATATTTTACTCTGTCTTGTCCTATCTTTATACTTCTATGTCTTTGATAAATAATTTTTTTACAAGTTTGTCACCTAGGCCTGTTTGTGTCATTCAATTTATTTTGATTTTTTGAGTTGTTAACAATTAAACCGAGTATGTGTCTGCAATACAAAATTATAATTTGAATGCTCTTCAAAACATCAATGGAATTACACAAGTCATACAGCACACATACATATATGTATGTGTACATAATAAAGAGCGTACAATCACAACAAACAACAACATTAAAGCAACAAATTTTCGAAATGACCTTGACACAATCACCCTCATTTTTTTATGTTATTGTTCGAAAAAAAAACAGAAACTTGTTCGATCTGAGGCTTGTTTGTAAACAAAGCATTACAAAATTATAAAAATAAACGAAAAAAAAATGAAAGAATGGATTATATTCTATGTATAAGAGTGTGAGTTATGATCGTATATGATATATTTCATTTTTTAATGGGCATGATTGTTCAAAAATTATGTGATAATTTCAATTGTATTATGAGCTGCTTCCCGGGGTTTAACATTGTTAGAAATCTTGGGATATGCGAATTTTGAATAGAATCTACAAATCAGTCCTTCAAGTCCTTAAGATCTTATGACAGAACTTAAATATTTTCTATTTTTTATAAAACATCTTAAAGAGTATCTTCGTGTAAAAGACCCCAGGTTTATAATCGTTTATTTTGAATAGACTTAACACCTGAATTTAACATGAATATATTTGATAAAAATATTCAATATTATTTCCAGCTTTCCATTGATCTTCGTATATATGCAAGTGGGCGCTATAAAGACTACTAGTTTCACATCCAGCATTTGATTACAATTTACAACCACATATACATACATGCAATCACAAAATGCATACCAATAATTATGGCCTGTGTGGGCGATCTACATTGTGACGCCGGCGGTCTTTGTTGTCTCCGTTCGTATTTTGCGTTCATGAAAATAGGGAAAGTTTATGACCCGGTTTTCTGGGATGAAAAATGTGGGAGGAGTTTGTTGAGAAATTTTATTTGAATAAACATTACATCCCACTTCATTTGAGAAAAAAGTTGGCCAATTAAAAAAGTTATCTAATCGCTGCAATCAGTTTTCTTGACCATTCTCTATATTTCAGTATTTTTGAATAACTAAATAATATTAAGCCCAATAAAACACATTCTCGAATTAAAACTTTTTCAGGAAGTATGCAGCTAATTTCAAATATATATCATGGTAACTTGGAACTTGGTCTACAAGCGTGGCAGCTGGTCTGATTTTATAAATAAACTAGCAAGAGCCCGCTACTACGACATGGAAAAAACAATTTTGATATGTTCAAACAGTTCGTTTTAGGCTTTTTTTGCACTCAAAATACAAAATTTATTCAATTGGATGAAATTTTTTTGATCAAAACTTCATGCATCATAGTAAATTTTCAGACTTTTAAGAATTTTCATATTATTCAAGTTTTTTTCTTTTTGAAAAGAATAATTGGAAAATTTTTAAGTTTTATTTTTATAGTATTCAAAATCTTTCATTTTAAAGTTAACCTAGGATGGTAAAATCATTGCAAAATGGACACACATCCATTTTTTGTCCACAGCTATTTTAACGTCTCCATGTGTAAACCCTAAA